AATGGCGATCGCGGGCGCTGTATGCAATTCGACGAAATAGAACGGTATTTGTATGACACCAGAAAGAACTGACAAGAAGGGGAGATCATATTAAAGGTCAGGGCATGCTTAGAGGGTCACAGGGGTGGCAACTACAGTTGAAGCAAAGTCCTCACTGGTTTTTATATAAGAAGACGTCAAAGTCAATACAGATGAATGTTTGGAAAACGTGCTGACTAAATTTCTCCAGCTTCACAGCATAGGTATTCCAGCGGCTCACAGGTCGAAGGTGACACAACAGTGATGTCGAGAGAGGACTACTTGACTTCTTCGGTGCTCAATGTTATCCATGTTCAGTGTCTCAACCTGATAGCAAAAGGAAAATCGGTGTGATCCCTCTATAGAGTGAAGGCATGATCCCTATTCATCCCCTCCCCCCTACTCAATTCGAAATCTTCTGAGGGATCTACTGAAGTTTTACTCTTGCAGGGACCATTGTTGGAGACTTTAGAAGACTTCTGGCATATGATGTTTTGTGAGCGGAGCACAGTGCTAGTGCAGCTGTGTAACTTTGTTGAAGGTTAGTTTGCGAATATTTTCAAAATGAGAGCCAGACTGCGCTTGAGAATCTTTAACAATAAGCCCGTAAAGTTTTCTTCAATTTTTTATCTCAAGTTTTGTTCCGTTTGCGATGTAATTGTTGGTTACAGGCACAAGGAGCGAGTACTTTGGGCTTTTGAAGCGAGTGACTATTAGTCTGGTCGGCCTGGCTAGTAGGTTACATAAAACGGTCTCCAAACCCGTTCTTTCATTGTTCTTGGAGCTCAATTTTTCGTAATCAACTATGGCTAGGTTTATTAAGGCGAAACATGAAATAGTGTCGCACCACGTCCTTTCCCTCCAAAGGCCCCTATCGACAAGGCCAGTGCAGGAAAAATTTGGCGCCGCCGTACTAGGGTTTACTCTTCAAGGATACACCAAGTCGGTACCGTTCGATTCGTATGCATACGTGCTGAAGCTGACTCGAAGTGGTTGGTTCCATTTTGCTTAGATATCGCTCCTCTGTACGCTCTCTCGCGCGTCGAGCGACCTGTGCTCGCTACTTCCTCACTCCAGTTCTGTGCTCTCTTTACCGTCGCCCCTGTGACTTGCGTCTCTGCAGTTGTATAGATTGATGATGGAGAATTACCTATCGTGTTCGCAACTTCACTGCTTCGATATACGATTGTGATATGCTGGAATGGAGGAGGCCGTTCTTCCACTTTTTGGTGACTCGTGTGTAAGGGACTTTACTTCACTGCGTCACTCCCACTAACCACTGGACATCTTGAGCACATCGACTTTCCCACTCTCCCTTTTTGCCCGCCATTATTCGAACGATTGTTTTTTGCTATCAGGTAAATACAGTGCTACATAGATATGTGGTGCTGCTATACGACCCAAGCAGGCACCGCATTTGCGCAAAGCGTTCGGCGAGAAAGTTCACTGCGCACGGAGCTAATAGGTAGGTGCATCTACCTTGCGAACTGCTATCGCTACAAGCGGCATGTCGAGGGCTCAGGTTCATCACACAGTGATCTCGCGTTCTTTGCAAATGCGTTGCGAAAAAAACTGTTTTGGAGCTTCGTAGAAAAGTTGGCAGTAGCGGGTCATAGCTGCCGCACCGCCAACGCAGCTAAGGTAGCGCATGGGACAGGATCGCGTCACACCACTCTATAGCAATAACTCTCCTGGCATCGCGAATGGTATACAACAGTCGGAAGTGAAGGGAATTTATTAAGTAGGTGGATCCTAACCCTTGCAACCGTTATCGCTAAAGCGCAAGTCAGGCTCAGGGCTCATCACACCTGATCCTCGCTTTCTTTGCAAATGCGTTGGAAAAACTGTTTTTGGACTTCGTAGAAAAGCTTGCCAGCGGGTCATAGCTGCCGCACCGCCAACGCAGCTAAGGTAGCGCATGGGACAGGATCGCGTCACACCACTCTATAGCAATAACTCTCCTGGCATCGCGAATGGTAAACAACAGTCGGAAGTGAAGGGAATTTATTAAGTAGCGAATCGGTAACGACGGATTCCGCGGTATTTTAAGCGGAGCTGGGTCCGTGTTGTATAGAAAGCGCTCTTTTCGTGGTGCGAAAGTGCCCTGGAAGCGCTAGCTGACTGCTTAGGACTGTCAGGCCCGTACCAATAGGAGCTGCCTATGTCATCGGGATAGTGAACGGTGCTCTGGTGATTTTCGCCCACGGTTGTTTTGGTTTTCCCCTGCTGTTCAGTGTACTTTAGAATCTCACGTATTCCACTTGATTGTGACCATCTGTGCTCGCCGGATGCTACCAATCAACTGCGAAGGGAGGTATCATTGTGGTCGATTTTTTTTGAATTCCTCCTTTGATAAGGAGGCAGCGAGCTCTGATACTTCTGCTTTTGAACCAGTTGCCTGCAAGGTGCTGTGTCCCAGATTATTCCTGCGGCACTGGGTCACGGAGTGGAATCATACCAAGGCACACTGGGATGCTTTCCATAAGGGACTGGACTGGTTTCACTTTGGATATCATCAAATCACCATTACACGCCGCCTGATGCATGCCGGCGAACGAAGAAGATTTTTGATGCTCTTCCGTGTATATGGCGTCTGCCTACGACGCCGCTGCTTCTCTTCACTCTCTGCGTACGCTCTAATATATAAATATTAGTCGCTTACGTGTGGCTGACGCGCACTACTGTGAGCATGGTCCATCCCATGGTACTGATTACAGACAGGATTTTTGTGCTGACCACTAACACTTGGCTTAATTCCCATGCTTCGAAATACGGCCCATTTCATCATTTTTGCACCTTTTCAATGAACAATGTCTGGTGCTTATCACATTTCTAACAACACTCGCCATTCGTTGGAAACAGGACAGCTTAGCGGTTGAAAGAGTTTCGATGGTAACAATATCGAAATCATAGTGAAATGTGCTTACCTAGTACTTCCGTTGAGCAGCTTTCACGTATCCGTCTGCTGGTGGCTCTTATCATCTCTCACTGACAAACATCTCGGCTTTTACTTTTGGGTGAAACTCTAGAGTTTAGCGGTCGAATCAATTTCAACCGCCAAACTAAGGGATTTCGCTAAGGGCTGGAAACATCTTGGCTTACTGAGCCTTTGCCCTTGGTTCTTTGGCAACGGTGGTCAAGTTTACTCGCAAGCCGGGTAAAGATGCGTACTGACTCTTAGACCTTGTCGGACACTATCAAAATTTATCTACCACCACTAAAATCTTCCCACCATGCTCCCTAACCACCTCTGCTGGAAGCAGTTCCCCAGTGATATTACAACCCGTGCTATGAATTTTGGCGGCTTCGTTTCCGAAGTGGCCCCCTACGGTGTCTTATCAGCTGTTATCACTTCCTGCCACCCACCAATAATGTTCCCATCCTGCCCCCTATCTTCATCTTGGAGCTAACGTCCTACCGTCGCTGTGACGCTCGTTATGAGGTTGGTGACCCTCCGCTTCTTAAGCTCCTCATGGTATCTTATCAGCTGTTATCACTTCCTGCCACCCACCAATAATGTTCCCATCCTGCCCCCTATCTTACTTCTTGGAACCAACGCTCTAGCCTTGCTGTGACGCGCGTTATGAAGTCGATGTTGTTTCCTTTCAGAAGCCCTTTGTCGGTGTCTTATGAGCTGTTATCACTTCCTGCCACTCACCAGTGATGTTCCTGCAAGATCCGCTACATCACTTATCAAATTTGAGCGCATTATCGCTGTTTTGAAGGAAGTTATGAATTTCCGGTCAAACCCACATATAGACAGACACAACAAACATTAACACGAGAACAGAATACCTGACAAGGACACTCGAATTCATATAGAGGGTTACCTATGCGAGAACAGGTTCAACCCTCACCTCACCACCCATTCACTCTAGCTCTTCCCGAGAAGGTTTTAGAAAGAAAGGTCGCTTACCTACAAAAGTGGCTGACCTTCCAATGCCCGCTGAACAATGTACAGTAATTGGCTGACCAGATG